TTTCTCCTATTACTTGCCTCTTATCAGGGGTATTCAAGTACCTGCTTTCCCTAGCACGCAGGAGCTTGTTGGCATATTTTGTCAGGTGCATACCATGATTTAGTGGAGGGTTCCCCCCTCACATAGACTGTCTCAGCATTTCCTTAAGGGCCTTGTTAGTGTCTTTGTTCCTACCCCAGCTATTGTGCCACTGTGGTTCCTCTTGCTGGTCCTATCTAAACTCACTGGGGCCCCATTTGAACCCTTGGCCTCATGTCCCTTGGTACAGCTAACAAGGAAGGTGACACTCTTGGTAGCAGTCACATCCACCAGGTGGTAAGCAAGTTACCGGCCCTTCACATAGACCCCCATCACTGAAGGTATTCAATTAGAAAGTCATTCTACATACCAGTTTAGATTTTTTGCCCAAGACGGTTTGGAAATTTAATTTGGCCCAGGAAGTAGTGTTACCAGTACTCTTTCCTTCTCCCTCCACTAAGGCTGAGTGCACCCTGCACTTGCTGGATGTTTGGAGGGTCTTGTTGTCTTACAATGATAGAACCAAGTCTTTCAGAATTGATAAGTCTTTATTTGTATGTTATTTGGGCCCTAAGAAGGTCAGGGCTGCTTCACTACAATCATTCTCTCAATGGGTAGTGGCAGTGATCCATTCTTGTTACGAAGCTTCAGGAAATCCATGTCTGCTGGAGGTTCATGCTCATTCCACCAAGGCTTTGGGTTCCTCAGCCACCTTCCATTGCACAGTTACTCTCACTGATATCTGCAAGGCTGCAACACTGTCAGCTGAATACACCTTCATGAAATACAATGCACTTGACCTGCAATCGAGGAAAGATGCTGATGCGGCAAAGGCTGTACTTCAGTCACTGTTTCAGTGAGAGCATCACCCCACCGCCTACTGGTGAGTAGCTCGCTAGAATCCCAATGTGGGGCTCCACTGAAGACAGAAGATGAAAACAGAGTTGCGCTTATCTCTAACTGTTGTTCATCGACATCTTCGACTCAGCCCCTCCCTCCTGCCCTGCTGTGAGTGCTCTTCTTAATTTAGTTCCTATTCTTACACTGTTTGAGAGTTCATGGCGAACAAGCAAGAACTGAGGGAAAGGAAGCCATGATGGTGTAGGAAGGACCCCGAGTTCTAATGGTTTTTTATTGATTATTGCTGATTTAAAGAACCCTTTGGGAGAACTTCTTTGGGATTCTCCTGGAGGATTAATATCCTGAGCATTGTCTGTGTTGTATAACACCAAGTGATGTAAATCATTTTGTTTGACATGTTTTTCTAGCCCTTGTTTCAAAGGAAAAGGGAGGCGGTGTGTTTCTCCCTCGTTAAAATCTCTGCCAATTTTGGTCAAGCTGACCTGGCAAGGTGCCAGCCAAGCCAAGAAATAGAATTAAGTGAACTGCAATCATATTCTCTATGCAACATTTATATTAAGTTTTTAAGGGTACTATATAGCAACTCTGAATGTTTATAGCTGACTCTGTTTAAAGCCTATGCCGTGGTTTGTGAAACCCAGACTATGTTATCTTGGGATGTTGCAGCATAAAAAGAAAATACTCTGCATTTTTAACTGCAATAACAGAAAGCTGTGCTTAAGGTGTATGTGTGTGTGTGTGTGTGTGTGTGTATGTATATGTGTGTATATGTGTAACAGAGAGAAATTCTTTCTCTTGATATAACTGCTTGGGTTTTAGAATTTTATGTTATGTTTTAAACAAGTTAATGTATAAGGTATTTGTAAAAGCAACTATTCTTTATTCTGCTATAGAAAATTGTTAAGTTTAAGTTACAAAGAGACTCTTTGCTGGAAGAGAGATCATTATACACAAGGAGGTGTACAAAGGACCCCAGTCAACATGAGTACATAAATCATGGACTGGGTCAATTAAAGAAACTGAGTTGATAGAACTAACTAGGGGAGATGTTCTGAAATGGGTGCTGTGAAGTTTTAAGGAGTACCCAGCTACTACCAAGTTTATGTAAGTTCAGCCAAGAACAAAAGTAATTAATCATGACTCTTACCATCAATTAAAAAGGGTCAATTAGGAATACAGAATTTGTATTGTAGAACAGTGTCTCCTACAGGCTGAACCGAGCTATGTGCTTTATAAGCTTTAATTTTAACAGAAGCAGCTTCATAAAATGACCAAAAATATTCTGTAAAATATTTTGATAAACCAAAATGAAAACTAAAAAATGGATTCAATGCACCTACAAGAGCTTAATGTCATAAGCTATTTTAAAACACTAAAAGAATTCATGTAAGGAGTTTAATGCTTTAGAATGTCATTGTAATGATATTGTTTTCATATTTTGTATACTTGTTAGTGAAAATAAGCTTATAGGTCTGTTTTAAAAGCACTGTTATACTTCTATATGCATGTATTAATGTTTGATTATAAGAACTGACAGAGTTTAATACTATTTATATTTATTTATTATTTCAATTTGTATCCCGCCTTGCCACAGAACTGGCTCAAGGCGGCTAACAACATTAAAAACACTAAAACAATAAATACATTAAAATACAATGGAGAATAAATACAACTGCCTAAGCAACTAAATAGTACTAATGATAATAATGGTGATGGTGGCGTGCAATATACAAACAGCAGCAATAACCAGCCAATGTTTCGTGAGGGCCGAGATGTATTCCGGCGGCACATTCGTCAGTGGTGCTTTCACCAGTGGCCCATTAATCAGCGGCAGCTCCTAATCAAAGGCCTGGTGGAAGAGCTCCATTTTGCAGGCCCTGCGGAACTGTAAAAGATCCCGCAGGGCCCTGATGTTATCTGGGAGCTCATTCCACCAGTGTGGAGCCGCCACTGAAAAGGCCCTGGCTCTAGTAGCAGCCAACTTGACGTCTCTCGGGCCAGGAAGAGTCAGGTGATTCTGTGTTCCTGACCTCAGTGCTCTCTGGGGCACACGTGGGGAAAGATAGTCCCTCAAGTAGGCAGGTCCCTGACCATATAGGGCTTTAAAGGTCAAAACCAGCACCTTGAAATGGATCCGGTAAGCTATTGGCAGCCAGTGCAATGCCTTCAGCGCAGGCTGGATGTGGTCTCGTATAGAGAGAACCATCAGCAGCCTGGCCGCCACATTTTGCACTAGCTGCAGCTTCCAGATCTGAGACAAGGGCATCCCCATGTAGAGAGCGTTGCAGTAGTCTAACTGTTCATTCTACTGAGAATGAACTGAGTTTGAAAGTTCAGTCAAAGGTAACAGAAGTCTGGGAGTAATGCCAAAAGGAATAAACAAGACTGCAAATCAAAAATAATGAGCTGCACCTGCATTGTAGGAGTGGAAACGCAGCCAACTAACATCCTGTGTGCCAAATATGTGGTTAATGACTGGCCAGACAAAGAAATCTGAACTGAGCATGTCTAAGTGATGTCAGTGATGATGTAAAGTGAGGAGGAGCAAGAAAAGTATATAAGCAAGCTCCTGGCTGTAACAGAAGGAACACCCACGCTGTGAGGTGCTCCTTTATTCGAATAAATACTTTTTATTACCCTTTACTGCCTGGATGATTGTTTTCACTGTGTGGTTTATTGGCTAGCCACATAAGTCAAAGAACCTTAGTGCATTGGCAACAATGGTTTGGGTGGGAAAAGCCATTGCATTGCTCAGGGGAGGGGTGTTCCACCTTTGGTTCTTAAGGAAGCTAAAAATTTCTATCCGAGGCCTACCTGCACATCTGCAGTCCCAATTTGTGTCTGCACAGAAGACATCGATGAACAACAGTTACAAGTAAGTGCAACTCTTACTTTTGGATGTAATTGTATCTTATGAATGATAACTGAGGCTACTATTGTGAAGGCCAATATCAGTTTTTAATGTCCTGTGAAATAAATACATGTATATTTTTGTACATCTGTTAATATTTATTAATTTTTAATGTGACCAATAGCACTATTGGGCCTATATATTTATATTTGCCTAACCTTCAGGTACTTAATTCAATTTGGGTTAAGTATATTTTCCCCTCTTTTTTCATTTTCAGTCATGCCCACTACCCTTTGCCAAAATCCTCAAAGTGTCCATAAGCTCAACAAGGCTAGGGATTTGTGAAGCACACCTCCACCTGCCACCCTGCATTTCCAGGGTGCCACTTTTAGAAGGTTTTGTTCAGATAAGCAAAGTTGTTGCAGCGGAGTACAGCAGGAGAGGCAGTCCTGTGGGTATTAGGCTACAAAGCCATGAAGAGATTTGTAGGTGATAACCAAAAACTTAAATTGCCTTTTCGCAAAGCAAAATGAATTCTGGAATCTAGAAGTCTATAGTAACACTTGAGCCAATAAACTCATATTTATGAGAGTTTGGTGTAGTGGTTAAGAGCCACAGACTAATCTGGAGAACCTGGTTTGATTCCCCACTCCTCCACATGCAGCCAGCTGGGTGACCTTGGGTCAGTCACAGTTCTCTCAGAGCTCTCTCAGCCCCACCTACCTCACAGGGTGTCTGTTGTGAGGAGAGAAAGGGAAGGAGATTGTAAGCCACTCTGAGTGAAGGGTGGTGTATAAAACCAACTCTTCTTCTTCTTGAGCATTTGTTATGTTTCCTTATCCCTCCATTTACTGGCTGCATATTGCTTTCTGACCCTTCTGCATTCCACAGGAAATTCTGTCTCTGGTTTACAAAATTATCTCATCCAAGGAAACACTTTTCCCTAGAATCTGAGTTATTGGGACCAGGTGGCTGATTTTCACTCATTTCATTTTTCTCATCAAGTATTGGCCTTCTCCCACAAATGACCCCAACATGCCAGAGTACTCTTTCTTCTCTGTACTACATATATATTTACATTATTGTAATGGTTTATATTCTACTCTTTTCCATTGTACTCAGCGTGACTTAGAAATATAACACAAAAATCACATTACAATCCTAGTAAAAAAAATAACAAGTTATTATAAGACTAATAAAATCAATAATACAATATATAAAGGAAAATTACAGCCCAGAACATTAAAGGAAGGCTTGATAAGAATGGCGACTGGAAAATATCATTTTGCAACTTTTGTGAGACTTAACTGTATGCGAAAACCAAAGTACATTTTGAGTTTACACAGGATTTCTGAGTACAATCCATGTGAGTATTGCTAATCCAAGAAAACACAGCAACATATTCTTAATTTCATCAGGAATATCAGCATTCCTGAGTGGCCTGCACTGGTCACACTCTTCCTTAGCAATGTTTTCTTTCAAGGATGCTTCGTCATCACCTACTGGAAAAGAATATGCTGTTGCTAGCCTCCGCCGAGGTGGCTGCACCTGTAAAGAACTGGGATAATGAAGATTCCAAAGTGTTTTGGAAATAGACGCACACTTCCCATTTCCTTTGTACATTGCTCTAATGCTATTAAATTGCGTTGCATTTGAATCCATCCAGTGCATAAGGTCTCTGGCATGTTGTTGAAAGACTCTTATTAGTGCAATGACATCTCCTTCTGCACTGTGACTGTTCAAAGGATATACTTTGTAGAACTTAAAGTATAAATCATGAAGCTTGTAATTTTTCTTGCGGCCAAATGGGCTAGGATGGTATATAAACTGGTGGAGCTGGTTATTTTCTTTGTCCAATGCTTTCATGGCTTTAATGGTATCTGCACAATAGATTTCATCAAGAACTGAGACACCCAGTGCAGATAATTCGGCTTTCAACAGAGGAAAATCATAAGTACAGCCACTGTGTGCTACTAAACAGATTGGCGGGTACTGCCGACTGAAAAAAGCTGTAATCATGTGCATAATGTGTACGTTAAAGCTTTGCTTTTTATTTTCATCAAACGCTTCATTATTCAGTCCTGTAACGGAACTTGCTCCTGGGGTAAAGGGCTTGTCTGGATTAATACAGATGCAGAGTTTATCCACTAAACGAGGGAATAGTGGAGCTGGTCTGGGAGAAGAACTGCTGTATTGAGGATTTTCAAAAGCATGCCTATTCACAGCAATTAGGCACATTTCTGCAATCTTAGGCTGTGATGGTGACAACCCTGTTGCTTCTAGGTCCATAAAAACAAATGTCTCAATAGGCTTGTGAGGCGGGTCAGAGGCTGTGCACATGCTGGATGCCTAGGACAAGAAACAGTGAAAATTAGGGAAACATGAGACTATATCATCGGTGTGTCGTTCTTATTCATTATACTTTATTTCTTCTCTTTTTCCATTTAAATCCAAAATTAACTCTTGAAATGGCAAAAATACTTCAAAATAAACTGCACATAACTTTTATCATGATAATTTTAAATTGGCTGCCAGAAGGTATTAAAAATACATGCACACATTAATTTAAAATGTCTCTGGCTGCCCACACAAATATATATGAAATGTTTTTCAAAAATAAAAAATACAACAGAATAAAACCATAAAAACACATAATAAGAAAACAACAGCGGAAAGAAAATGGAAGTGGCAGCTGTCAAATACAACAAAGCCTAAAAATGCAGCACCACTCAGAATTGAGTCTCAGTAGCTTCCTTTCTTTTTTCTTTTTACTAATTTCACTCTTAAGTTTGCTATAGCATTAATTAATTAATTAATTAATATTTAACTTAATCTGCATTGTGCAGGGAGTTGGGCTAGATGACCCTGGAAGTCCCTTCCAACTCTATGATTCTATAATGTGCTTGAAGCCACATGTCCAGAGACAGAGTAAACACACCAGTTCTAAAATACCACACACACAAAGTTCAAGGTAGCTTGTGTGTTAGTTCCAAGTTACACAGAAACAGGAAAAGATGTGACTGACTCTGTGCTACTTCTTTTTCCACTACAGCTTTAATGTGTGGTGGAACTCCTGCATCTCTCATCCAAGAGCTCATAGTGTGGGAGTTCCATTTCACACAATGCAAAGAAAGTGGGAATCAGGAAGGATGAGTCATTTTAAATAAATTTTGACCTTAGTTCCCAGCTTTTGGTCAAGCTGTCAGCCAGCTCTGATAACACAGCTATGGACAAGCTTTAAGAGTGCTGGCCAGGGTCAGTTATAACGTACAGATTTTAAAAGCATGTCTTCAGGCACTTTCAAGATAATTTGTAAAATATTGAGAATAGGATTGACACTAAGGAATTTCAGACAGGCAATATATTCCATAAGAGGAACGGTTCCCAAATGGTTTCTGGTCTGTCATTTCAGACAGAACTGTTTGAGAACCGGTTCCCTTCTGGAATATATTTGTCATTTCATACACTATCGCTTCTGTCCCATTTAGGAAACGGGGCTGAAGCGTTTTACCTGTCAACTGCTTCCAAGTACTCCTCAGTTTCCTCTCCCGGTTCCGATGCGCTTTTTCCCGCCGTTTTTTGCCCGCGCAGGCGATCTCCGGCTTTTTTTTAACATTTATTTTATAGCGTTATGGCGCTATAACGCTATAACGGAACAGCATTATATCAATCCCATTGGAATGCACGGAGTGTTTTGTTATACTGCTATAGCGCTCTAAAGTGAACGTTTAAAAAAAAGCCGGAGATCGCCCACACAGCCGAAAAACGGCGGGGGGGGGAGTGGGAAAAAGCGGTGCAGTCTGAAATGGCACACCACTTCAGATCCAGCTCTTTACTGGAAGGGGAACGCCATGTGTGAAATGGCAGCCCTATACTGGTTCACTTCAAAACGGATCATTACCGGCTTGAAACCGGGTGAAACTGGGTAATGTGAAATTCCCCACTTTTTCCCTCACAGAAGCTGCAGGACAAACAAAATTTCTGCAACTGCATCCTTTCCCACCACAGAGACACAATGGGGAATTTCACATTACCCTTTTAAAACTGTTATTGTGCTGTCATGGACTAAACAGGGACGGCCATTTCACATAGCCTTTCCCTTCTGGTAAGGAGCCGTCTCTGAAGCGGTTTGTCATTTCAAACTGCGTCGCTTTCTTTTCCCACCATCCCACACACACACACACAATCTCCCTGACAGGGTTTTTTGTTTTTGTTTTTTAAACCCATTCTATTAGGAGCACTATGGTGCTGAATCAGGACTATAAGGCAGCGCCATAGCGACCCCACTGAGATGCCTGGACTCCATTTAGATACACTGACGTTCGCTACTGCTGTTCCCTGGAAACAAAGAGCTCACTGAATACAGAATTCAAGCGTGGGGGGGGGGGGACCAGACAGTTTTGAAACCCAGGTAGCAGGCTATTCTTGTGCTTTTTAATTCATCAAAGCCCAAACTAGTAAAGCCCCTCTTCCTCCTCCTTTTTCATGCTGTGCTGGTACGTTTGTGCTTATTGCTATTTTCAGTGATTTTATCTTTAAACAGACATGATAAATACAATGTCTGCCCCAAAATTACCTTTTAAAATCCATGCTGAGATACAGTAGCGAACATCAGTGCATTTAAATGAAATCCAGGGATCTCAATGGGGTCGCTATGGCGCTGATTTGTAGTCCTGCTGCAGTGCTATAGTGCTCCCAATAGAACATTCAAAAAAAGAAAGAAAAAAGGATGATTGTGCGCGGGGAGAAAAAAGGCATGAAGAGAACTGTCATCACAGGAAGCGCTACAGGGGCATTTTACACAGCACCCCATAGCGCTTCAGAAGCGGTAGAAGGAATTAAAGACCGGTTGGAAGCAGTTTGTAGTAAAAACACTTCAGCTACGCTTCCCGAATGGGACAGAAGCGTTTCTGTATGAAAGGGTAAATATATTCCGTCAAGGAACCATTACTAACATGGTTCTGTCTGAAATGACAAGCAGAAACCGTTAGTGAACAGTTCCTGAAATGGAATATATAGGCTGTCTGAAATTCCTCAATAATAGGGAATATTATCACTGTTTTAAGGGAGAGGCCTCGGCTGGGTATAATGCCACAGAGTCCACCCTCTAAAGCAGCCATTTTCTGCAGGGAAGCAGATCTCTCCTCTCCAGGCCACACTTGGAGGTTGCCAACCCTAAGCCTGGCAGCAGTTGAGTTTTGCCAGGTCTCCCCCCCCCCCAGGCCCTGGCAGGGGATGGGGGGGAAGGTTGCCAGATCCGGGCTGGGAAATTCCTGGAGATTTGAGGGTGAACACTGGGGAGGACAGGGACCTCAGTGGGGTATGACGCCATAGAGTCCACCCTCCAAAGCATCCCCTTTCTCCAGGGGAAGTTATCTCAGTAGTCTGGAGCTGAGCAGGAATTCCAGGGGATCCCCAGATCCCACCTAGAGACTGGCATCCCTAGGC